ATATATATATATAAAAGCAAGGACATTATAATTTTTTTTAATTTTAGTCTTGTTGACTTTTGATTGAATTTGTATGCAAGTATCATTTTTGTCCAACTCAGGACTAAAAATTGTTTATATAATATGAAGATTATAATATTTTTGCTTATTGAGAATATATACTTGAATATATACTATATTTATACAAATTCAAATCGAATCAAGATTAAAATTCTTTTCAGAAGATTCTAATATTCCTATTTACATACGAGAATATATAATCTTGATTTAAGACTAATTTTTTTTTCTACGTATATTGTACAAAGGTACTAGATTATAACATGTGTCGTCTATAACAGAGCGCACAGTGCTATTACTCTCGATTATACTTTGTTTTAAAAATAATCGGTATATGCTAGCAATACATTAATAGCTAAGTACCTCCTGCTATATACACAAGATACAGAAAAAAAGCCTTGTAAAGACCTAGTCTCCTAAAGAAAAGTATAAGCCGTGTGCTTATAAAACCTTCAGTCAAATCACTATATTTATTGATGTTAATATATCGCGAAAAATATCACCTCTCAATGTAAAATACTTCTTATTTTACTCGAAATTTTCATTTAGAAATTAATACCTCAAATTTAGATTCAATACGAGATTAAGAGTCCACGTGACAACACGTGGAATGAAATTTACATATCAGAAAAACCTAGAGCATCGCGTGCACGAAGAAGCACGATAACTGATAATAAATAATGAATAAACAAAGTTAATAAATAATGAGTAATAAATAATTTCATCCCGATGCGACAATCAATTGTTCACATCGAACACATCGTTATTATTATTGAAATAGATTGAAGAATCATCGTATTTAAATTGCTAAAAATGCGTTTATGCTGAACGACCTGTTGACATCATAAATATTTAATCTCCAAACGGAATTAGCCTTAAAAAAATTCTCAGCGAGCATTCGAGGAAGTTTCCTTTTCTAGGTTAAGTGCTTCGGGAAGAGATCCGCCTTGAAGTTAATCTAGAGATAAATTCCAGATTAATCTCGAGCTATCCTCGTTTTATCGAGTGCGTGAGAGTCGCAAATTCCCTCTCGTCCTCACACTCGAGGTCTATTTTTAGCTTTCGTATTCTGCGGTGCTCTCGTTACGAAATCTAGCATTAAGCCATTCTCAGGCTTAATCTTTGGATGTATGTATATATTAAAAGAATAGAATTGTGACGTTATTGGCACGTCCTTGTCGCACGTACCTTTTTCGCTTTGTAATCGAGATTAAAGCAAGCTTGGGAAGCGGCTCGAGCGAAAGGAAAGAAAAAAATGAGCGCAAAAAGACTATGTATATGCAATGCAAAGGACTTAATCTAACTGTATAATAATCACGTGCAAGATAATTTCTAATTGCGTATGTAAGAGCATTATTATTTTTCCGGAAGTTATGCAGACAAAGAGGATAAACAGCGTAATTGTGAGTCAAAAGCGCGTGAGTCAAACGGTTCCTGTCGGTTATAAACGACTACCAAAGTGACTCTTCGGAATTGACTGTAATCGACGAATAAATGAATTCTGTCGCATCGACAAAAGATGTTTATCCCTTTTTTTTCAAGTGAGACAAACAATAGCGTGCTTTTACGTATTGTTACACAGAAGAAACGATTTTGCTGAAGCGTCTAAAAATTTGGCCAGATGTAGATTTGAAAATAATTTTGTTGAACCATCAAAATAATTAAGCACAATAATACTGCAAAAATTTTTTATATTTTTGTAATCAATTTGAATACAATTATTTTGATACTCGAGAATATTATTTCCAAATTCTTCCTCTCTCTCTCTCTCTCTCTCTCTCTCTCTCTCTCTCTCTCTCTCTTTCTCTCACTCACTCACCAAGTTTTTAAATACTTCATCAGCAGACTGTTTTTTCCATGCAGATATACAGGATGATACTGAAAGGAAAATATTTTGCTATATTCAATACTGAAGTTAATTTCAAGAGAAAATTATACGCACGTGATTCTCAATAATTGTCGAATTACAAGTACTTCGAGATATCATCGCCTTATCTGCATTGCAATCGCCGATAAGGCGAGAAACTATAATATGTTTGGCTGTACTATGATACGATAATTGCGCAACGCTACATTTGCCTCAGTATTATTATAGCGTTATCAACAGTGACAATAATGTCAACAGTGACAATAATTTCACTGTGTAGATACGTGGATACGCGGTGTTCATTTGCGAGGCTCCGCAACATTGTTTCTACAGCTGTCCGGGGGAACGCTAAGTAAGCGGCAATCGCGCGTTTTATCGCGCGATCCACATGCGTGCGTTTGCTTCGCCGATTAATAAACAGTTATGCGAATCCTGCTGCTCGGTAATTGTCGACTTTGATATCAAGGAGCTCACATGGCACGGTGAACAACGTGCCAAAGCCCGCGACCCGTCGATAGTCAGCGTGACGTTTCCCCACTCGGAACTCGGAGATCCTGAAAATTAAATTATCTTCGGTGACTCGTACTTCCTGCCGGATTATCTTGCATACGCAACCGTTTAACGAGTACCATTATATATATCGGCAGCGACATTTCCGTGCCCGGCGTGGCGGAATGCCAGAGACACGTACGGGACCGAATCCGCTTGCGAGCGGAGCGAGCGAACGTCACGTTTCCGCGCGAACGGTACACGTGCGCGCGGACGCATCGTCTTTCTTTTTTTTTTTTTTTTTCGTTTCGTTCCGTCGTTTCCTCCTCTTCCTCATCTTTCTCGTCGCCCTCTTCTTTGCCGTCGTTTTCCTTCGTCGTCGTCTTTGTTGCTGACCGCTGCTGTACGTCGGTTTTGCAAAAAAACAGGACTCACATCGCGCGTGCTTCGAAATGTCACTGAACTCGAATTCGGCTGCTAAGCAGCTAACCCGTCCCGCGTCTCTCTCTCTCTC